TGAAAACTGAAGATCCATAAAGCAACGGCATTTCCAATAAATCCGAGAACGAACGTTACAATAATTATCGGTGGATTGTAGGAGGAATTAACGTCTCCCATACGACGAGATTGTTGGGTCCCGTTGTCCATTGTTGGTGGTTATGCAGTGAACTCAGACTTACAGCCACAGAAACGTGTTGTTAAACTGAACGATGCCCACACTTATATATCGGACTTTTCCATGTTTCATCATGGATTGTGGGTGGAGCTCTATTGAAGTCAGTTGTATGAATTGATTTGTACTTAAAATAACATTAACGATACTTATAGAAAACCTTCGACATGTATTTACGGAAAAATTATTCATATCGATTAGAAGATATTTGGTCTTGCTAAGGATGTTAAAATATTGAATTTCCAGAAACCCCAACCGTTTTCCACTGAAGCTCACAAAGCTCTTTATGATGGTTCATCTCCTACAACACACTTTAACGGTAATGTCTGTTATAAGTGATAATATTTCCCAAGTCAATGTAAAATGAAAATTAGCTGCTGTAAAGTGTGCTGCCATATAACTAGAAGCTTGTCTCGTTCTGTGATCATTGAGCACTTCCAGTTCCGTGTTTTTCTATTGAATTTGTGAGGAGGAGATTCACGGCTTTGGTGGAGAGATAACAAAAACAGATGTTGCTGGAAAAGCTCAGCAGGTCTGGCAGCACCTGTGAAGAAACAATCAGAGTTAACGATTCGGATCGTGAGGAATGGTCACCCGACCCGAAACGTTAACTCTTATTTTCCTTCACAGATGCTGCCAGACCAGCTGAGCTTTTCCAGCAACTTTGTTTTTGTTCCTGATTTACAGCATCCGCAGTTCTTTCGGTTTTTATTTGGTGGAAGGATGTTCAGTACGGCGAAGATTTAATCTGGTTTTGTTAGACACGTGCTGCTTTTCATGTTCTCTATCAAATTTTCTCTCCATGAATTCGAAAAATAAACCTCGTAAGGAGTTGATGAGAATGAACCATGGAAATGCCATTTGAGCCAATAGTGTTTAGTTGGATGTAACTTGCTTCTGAACATACGAAGTATGTATAAGCTGTTGTAGAAATGAGTTATTTGTGAGCTGAATCTGACTGAGGAATCTGACAAAGAAAAGATGAAAGCAACTCAACAGAATAGAAACCCTACAGTGCGGACAGAGGCAACTCGGCCCATCGACTCTGCACTGACAAGAAGAGCATCCCACCTTATCCCTAAAGCCCCGCATTTAGCATGGTTAATCCAGTTAGCCTACACATACCTGGACACTCCGCGGCAACTTAGCATCGTCTATCCACACAATTAGCACATCTTCGGACTGTGGGAGGAAACCAGAGCAGCCGGCGGAAACTCGCGCAGACATAGGGAAAACGTGCAAACTCCACACAGTCACCCAAGGCTGGAACTGAACCCGGCCTCTGGTGTTGTAAGGCAGCCTTACTAGCCACTGAGTCACCCTGCTGTCCATTAAAGGGTCACTAAAGTGTTTTATGCAAACTATGTTTTCGATGGACTTGGTTTATTTGATGAAATAGCTGTAGCCTAAGGGAAATTTACAGAATTACTGACCCACTCTCACCAAGGTTCACTGTCCAAACCGTCATTCCTCACCTCAAAATAACTTTTTTTTTCTAATTAATTGCAGATCAGAGCAGCAAAAGTAACCACTATCCAAGCATTATTTATAGCACAGCAAAGAGAAACTACTAGGCTCCCAGTTCTGATTCAAAAGCCGAAGTTGCTGGAAAAGCTCAGCAGGTCTCGCAGCATCTGTGAAGAGAAATCAGGGCTAACGTTTCGGGGTCCGGTGACCCTTCCTCAGAACTGAAGAACTCTGATTTCTCTTCAAAGATTTTGCCAGACCTGCTCAGCTTTTCCAGCAATTTCTGGTTTTGTTTCTGACTTACAGCATTTCCCAGTTCTGATTGCTGTTTGAGTATTTGATGCGAATCCTATTGGACCCAGTGCATGTTATCGATTAAATTGACTTCATATGTTCTATTACTAAACTCCAGTTGGTACAAACGCAAAAATCTAAAGTCAGGTTGTCTCAAACCATTTACCAGAACGTGACATAATCGAGTCCAAGAATTAATTCACCTGGTTTACAATTTCTGGAACTTATTGTGAATAAAAGGAATGGGATGCTATAGCCCAGCCAGTAAGAGGGTGGCGTTGGCAAGCTCGGACAGCAGCACCAGTAACTAAATCAGCCAAATAAAGTCAAAAGGAATAACGTCAAATAAGAAATATATTGCAAGGTGTTAGAAGAGATTGCCGGAACATTGAATGAAGTGGGAGAAGAAGTTAGCTAGAGCGTACGGTCTGCAGTTTCTTTTGCGGTGTTACACCCCAAAACACTACCAATGTCTTGTTTAAGTATGCTCCCAGTTTCATGGGGATACATCCAAACTCAAAACGACTATAAATCAGTGTAAACGTCAGGGTCACAAATAGCACCAAACTCACCCTCGCCTTTTTTCTTACGCAAACCAAATGTTGATTTTCCCATTAAATAGATATTCTTGTGAATAGCCCAGAGAAGTGCAAGACAAAAAGATTTGACAAAATACTTTTTTGCAGCAATACTCATGTATAATTAACTCTTTACTCCATAAGGACGAGTCCACTTCTCCCCACCATCAGCAAAGTTAAAGACAAACTTTTCTGACTATGGGATAACAAGGTGTAGAGCTGGATGAACACAGCAGGCCAATCCTGCTCCTATGATACCAGATTTTCCAGCATCTGCAGTTCCTACTATCTCTGATACAATTCTCTGACTATGGCATCCATTTCTTTCATCTTGCAATTAAGATGCCCAAAGCACATCTGCTAGAAAATAGACATGCCCACCCTTTTGGGAGTCTCGCTCACTACATAAAATCTGTCTCCTGACTATACTATTCTGCAGGTGCTATCTGACCAACTAAACAGCATGGTCGGTCAACTCCTAAATCACTCCATCACGTTATACAATCGAAAGCATGATTTTGCTGGTATATAGCTTGACTTTAAAAAGTTGTGTCGTCTTAAAAGTATTAGTTATAAATGCTTAACACCAAATGCCAAAAACGTAAAATGTCAATGAAACCACGTACTTCGAAAGTTTTGCACCTTATAGGCAGTACTTTAGTTACATAAGCTGGTAATTAGCAGCTAGGATATACAGTCAGTACAGATTCTGGGAGTGCTCACAGGTATGACAGCCTGGTGTCATTTATAGGTAGGTACCCTTAAAGCTTTTCCCATGGTTTTGTCGGTTGCATTGCTGTCTGAGTTTCGGATCTGGAACAACTTATATTTAAGGGAAGCAACTGCTTTCATTAAAGCATTTTTTGAAAGTCGAACTTGTGAAGTAGTAAATAACTGGATCTAGTACACTGTTCAGATATGTCATGAATAGTGTATTATAAAAGACATGAACAGCTGTTTCATATGACTTGCAGCCTTCAGTACCTCTCAGTTTCGTGATTAACACAGCAAGAACAGCAATGCTTGTGGGTAAGAAACAAAGCACAAAAACTGCAGACACAGCGAACACAAGTTTCATCGCTCGTTTATATTTACCCCTCAACTCAATTTTCATCTGTTTTAACTTCCAAATGATGCAGGACGTGGAGAAGAGGATAATCGGAGCCGGGATAGCAAACTTAAAAATAATAAAAACAATATCGGTCCAAATTGTTGTCGGACTTAGAGGCCGCGATATGTTAATGGGTTCACAGTATGTCTGGTTGTCGAGTTTGAAGGACTGAGGTTCTGCTAAAAGGTGTGAGCAAATTGCCACTGCGAGAACCCACAAGCTGGTGGCTACCTTCACTGCACAGCTTGTAGGCATCGTATTCACTCTGTGGTGAGGATGGACCACTTTCAGATACCGATTGATCGCCATCGCCGTGAGGAACATGATGCTTCCTGCTCGGTTTAGGGAAATCAAAAATACCTTCAGATGACAAGGAACATCACCGTAAATCCAGTTCTTCCCCCGGATATAGTAATCTGCTCGAAACGGTAAACAGCAGATTAACAGAGTGTCTGCAATCGCCAGGTTCAGTGAATAAACTGTGTTTGGTTTCCAGGATTTCACATGAAAACTGAAGATCCATAAAGCAACGGCATTTCCAATAAATCCGAG